GCGTGTTTGCGTCGCGCTTTCTGTGGGACGCTGCAAGGCGGGGTGTGGCGACGCTGAAGCAAAGTAGGCGGCGCTGCAGTGGATCTACTTGTAATGGTGTTTTTTGGCTGTAAAGGCGTAGGCCTTCTCTTTTTATGCGGTATTTTTTTATCACGTGGGCGACCAAGCGGCAGTACCGATAGACCGGGTATTCTCTCGAGTGGACATGCAACGTCTCGGCCGTCAAATCCTCCACTTCACCTTTGGTAGAATTGATAGTCGACAGAACGGGCGCACCCCTTCGTAGTGTTTCCCAACGTACTGTTCTAGTAACGTTGACTCGAATCCAATCGCGTACTTCGTGCCCCATGGATGGGTGGATCGATGGGAGGGTGTTAATGGCTACACCCATTCTAAGGGTCGGTAGGTTTGCGCCACCTAACCTAAGAAATGACGACCATCAGTGTTGCTCGATGGACATTTGAAAAGGGTCTATTGACGATTTGCGTCACCAAAAAGGCGTCGCTGTGATCGGCCTTCCATGATTTTCCAAAAGCTTTTGTCTTCAGTAGGTTTATTTATGCTCTGATCGACGGAAAGGAGAGCAAAGTCAGTTTCTCAGCTTTGACGGTGTTGATTTATGAACGTTATAAATCCCTAAATCGGCAGCGTATTTTTTTTTTTTTTAGTGACCACCGAACTTTTTGTTTGCTACTAATATAATCTCGCTCATGACGTCAGAAATATGAACCTTAAGAGGCCGAAACATCTCGTAAGGATTCAGTGGAAGATCCGCCTTCAGCACGTGTTCGTAGACTTCCGCCGAGTTTTGGCAGTACGTGCGGCGAAGGGTTATCAAAGGCAGAGAACTTGCGATGGAGCCAAGGCTGCTGTTGAATTCTTAACCTGTCGCTGAACCTTCACTATTTTGAAACTGCTTGGCGCCTGGAGCACAATGGACCAATCTGCAGGGGCGTCCGAGGCTTTGGTACTGTTCCTTACCAGTGCCGCGTGTCTTTAAGACCGCGGACTGTCAACTTGTCTTTAAGCTTTTGTGTATGTGTGTGTAGGGTGGGGGGGGGGGGGGGGGGGGTGCTTGTGTGCGCGTGTACACAAGTGAGTTTTGACATCGTCGTCACCATATCTTGCATCATCATCACAATCGTTTAATTCTGTACTCTCATCACTCTATATTTCTTTTCCTTTTTTTACCCTTACTCCAGTGCAGAGCAGCCAGCTTGGACAGACGTCCAGGCTAACCTCTCTGTCTTTTTGTTTTTAGAATCGATCAATCAACCGATTACACTCCATTCCAATGTTCGGCTCCTGGACGCTGTGATATTTATCTGCTGAACTGTGGGAAGCGTTCAGAGAACGAGCAATATAGCTATCAACTGCAGAGTATCAGACACCGCGCATGTGCTCACAGCCCAGCGATTCAGAAATTTTCAGCTGGCTAATAAGCGTTGGAAAAATTCTATATTCCTGAGCCGTAGCGTCCCGGGCTCGTAGAAATCGCTATGCGCTCCATAATAAATTACCGATGAACAAAAGCATGGGTTCCGCATCATTTTCTCCCAACCGAGGGCTTATAGAAAGGTATGAATTCGGAATATTTTTTCTACTAATTATCAACGTGTATTATATATTTCCTGTGCGCACATCATTCAAAATATGACGTGGCTCCATTTTACAGTTCTTTTACAGTAAAATTATAATAGCGTTTGAGGCGTATACGTGTTTTTAACCCGATCAGCACGCACAATGTCCGTGTAAAAACTACGTATTCCATAAAAAAAAAAAAAAGAAGCTTGGTGTAATGCGACTCAAGGAGCCTATTTATGTAGGTTGAGGCTAATATAATATTTACGTTTGCATAATTTTTAACCCCCCCCAAAAAAATTAGTAACTTGCTGGACACCGGTGAAAATCACAAAAATCTGCCAATTTTGTAGTGATCTGAAGCCAGTACTTTATTTTTGGGATTTCGGAAATGCATAGTTTCCACGCGCCCATGTGGGGCTTCTTTTTTCTTTTTTCTTTCTCAAATTTAAAGTAACGTGTTTTTTTTTATACATCTCAGAAAATGTTTGAAAAACCCTCGCAAGTAACTTTTCAGTCCATTTCGGTTTATCTGAAAAAAAACTTGGAATTTCTAGGCTACAACGACAATACGAAAAGCAAAATGTTTCATTTTTTTTTTTTTTAATTATCTTCATAAGAGCACAGGGTCAGTGGTCCCGAGGAAAGGCCGTTTCATGTTCCTTTGCAATCTCGAGCGACAAACAAAAATGGTTTTCCTTTTAACTCATCGGGGTTCCTTTAGGACAAGGGGTTAGTGTGCCCCGGACTTTTTTTTTTTTTTTTCGGAAAAAAACAGTAAACTGGACTTTGAATTTCAGAAAATTGAGAATTTGACAAAATTAAACTCCGATAAACCCCGAACTTTCAGCGAAAAAGAAACTCCCAAAAACTCTCCCGAATTTCACGAAAAATAAACTCCGAGAACACGAAATCTTACTTATACGCGGCGTTTTCAGCCAGCCTTGCGCCTGTAGCACAGGGGACTCCTTCTGCACACCACGACGGTTCCCAGGCGTTTCGACTGTGGTAAATATTTTATTGGGCAGTTTTCGATGACGCTCAGCAAGTTTCTACACTAACGTTTATTTTTGCTAATCAAAACCTTGATGCTACACTACGAAGGACGTAGTTATTTTAACCACAATGTGACTCACCAAACTGGCCGCATAATAATAACTAACCACTTTTTTTTTTGTGCGATATATAGTTTTTTTCCAGGAACCTTGACTGATGTTCAGTGGAAACCCGGTTTAGTGCCGTACTCTATTTAAAGGCTTACTTTCTTATCTATCTCCATTTTGCTTAGACCATAAAACATTTGTCTGCTCCCTAGCATGTTTGACCATAAATTATAACGTTTGCCACGTAGTAAACGACAGTGCTTTTTAATGTTGAATGGATGCATGGTGGTTGTTCTCTTCGGATTGGGTGGTGGCTTGCGCCACCTAGCCAACCTTTCTGGTGGCGCCATCCGTCATCACTCAGTAACATTCAGGAAATGCTGGAACTCCCTAAATAGCCCATCCACTCTCCTCAACTCTACTTATTCCCTGCGGTGCAATCAGAAACAGGAAAGCCTCAAAGGGGAGCGTGGCACGATTTTATCTCTCTTTCTTTTTCTGTTTGTAATCCCTGGAGAAAGAAACAAAAATGAATATATTCTATCTTTCTTTGTAAAAATTTAAAAAAAATGAAAGAAAGAGTTGCTCTCTGGGCCACCCGTGACGCTCGTGACCTCGATACTGAAGCCGGATATTCATCCGAAAGTTGAGTGCGGAGTCCATGCACGCGGCGTGCGTCATCTTAAAAATAGGAAAGGAGACCTGAGTAGTGCTCGCGTTCTCTGGCACCCCCCCCCCCCCCCCCCCCCCGGGTTTGTGCCGTCTCAAGATTAATCACTCGGGCCCCAGCCGCAACTCCCGGGCGGGCGTTTAGCCAAGCCGATCCTATGTCTCGGGGTACCTCGGAAATAAGCAGACTGCGGAATCGTCCCGACTGCTTCGCAAGCCGAATCGCCTGCGTGGAGTTTCATGAAGTTATTCGAAGGAGCGTAAATATTTTGCTGGCCCCTCGAGGACGCCTTTTGGGGGAACGCACGCTAAGTGAAGGCGACGCGGAAAGATCACGACAATTTCGTAAGGCTGCGCGCATTTTGTGCGCGGCGGAGGTGGGTTTCGATTTGGAATGCGTTACCCTTCTGATCGCCGTGCAAATGGCTGTTTAATTTTTTATTTATTTTTTATTCCTGCGAGACGATATGAGAAGAAAAAACTAACGTTTATAACCACTTTTTGTCAATGTTGCTATTACTCGGCGAGAAAAGCACTGGGTTGAGTATGAGTGCTCGTCGTTTGATAGTCCAGAGAAAAGAGCTACTGAACGTACTTAGAAAGCGTTCCACGGCCCAGGGGCTTTAGACTGAACACTGGGCGAGAGAGTCCGCAATCTCGCCTGGTGTTCGACTTAGAGCCCAAGCCACGGCAGTTCGCGAAAGGCGATGATTGGAATGTTGTCACAACCTCGAGCATCTACTTTACCAAAAAGCCCTCTAAAGAGCTAATTGCTGCAATCTACAGATCTTGAGTTGGGGAATATAATAAGAGGAAGGAAAATGAAAGGTTCCCATGTCCGCGCCCGCGTGACCTGAGCAGGCTGCTGCAATATAAACAGGAAGCTTCAAAAATTACAGTACTAAATATATGATAAAACAAGGGGGGGGGGGGGTGGGGGGGGATGTAACCTCACGTACCATGCTCAGTGCCAAAGCGCAGACTGTCTCGTTTTTTTTTTGTTTTTTTTTTTAAGTCTGTACATATTATTAACCTCTCTATTTGCAAAGTTTTACCCGTAAATTGCAGCATTGGCTCCCCTTGGTGCTTTTCAGGAAAGTGGGCGTTCCAACTTTTTTTTAAGTCTAGGGTGGAGATGGGGTGGGGAGGGGGGGGGGGGGTCGACATGATGGTTGTTTGTAGCGACTTTTACGTGAGGCAATATTTTAATACACACTCGCGATTTCAGGACCAATTATCGGGTGATGATGCCATTTTCTTTGTAATTCCAGAACTACCGTTCATGAATGAGATACTAAAAAACTAGACCCAATATTTTTTGCTCTTTTTTTTTCTTACGATTTTCTTATTAAGGTTCAGTGCCGAGCTCAGTCTATCTATGCGTGTGTTAGGAGCTGGAGTGGGGACAGGGTATTTGAGGACAAGAAGCGGCGGTCCGTGAAGTTCTGGTCCGTGTTTGTTTGCTTTTTGCTTTCAAAAGACGCGGCTTGGGAAAGTCCTACCAACATGATGGATCATTCAGAAGCTGACAGGCGAAAACATCTGGCGCCACCGGCGCGGTATAGTTGCGGGGCCAACGCTTTCCCTGATGTCGAATATAGTCGCCATGTTACGACACCCGTTGCTAATTCTGCGGTTTGATTCCAGGTCCGCCGACGGAGATCCTGACGGATGTCCTCATTCGCAGTTTCGGCCCCGTGTCTGAAAACGAAATGGTACGTCGATGATTCTAACCAACACCTCACTCTTAAACTGTATTTCTTTTTTTTTTTCTTTTTTTTTTTCTTTTTTTCATTGGGAGCTTATTTTTTATTTTATTTTTTTGTAATAAGGACATTTATTATTTTGTACACTGTCTCTTTACTGAAGATATGTCCCCACCCTCAGTTGTAATATCGGTGAAAGGGGCTACAAGAGTCGGATGAATGTATACGAATGAACCCTTTAAATCGGAAGATGGCTTGCTCCACCTGGGGAGTGTTTAAATTATTTTTTCCTTCAAGGATAAAAGTATGGATCTACTGAAATCCGAGACTCGCCAAAAAAAGAGGACAAACAGAACTTCTCAAATACAGCCACTAAATACTTTTTACAGTCCTTTCATAAGTAAGAGTCATTACTAAGTGTCACATCGTTTTTTTGTTTGGTTTTTTGCTTTTGCGTTGGGAGCTGATTTTTTTTCAGTAATAAAGACACTTATTATGTTAGGTACTGTCTCTTTACTGGAGGTAAGTCCCGACCCTTAGTTGTAATCTTGGTAAAAAGGGCTACAAGAGTCGGATGAATATATATACGAATGACCCCTTTAAATTGGACGGTGGCTTGCTCCTCCGGAGGAGTGTTCAAAATGTGTTTTTTTTTTCTTCTTCAGGTATAAACGTATGGCGGTACTAAAACCCGAGACTCATGCAAAACAGGAAGAAGACAACATCTCAGACACAGCTACTAAATTTTATTCACAGCGCTTTCTTTATACAGTCATTGCCATCACTCTTACATATTTGCACACGTTCCCCATCGTCTGCTAGTTCAGTTTAATGTTTTGAAGTCTAAACCTTTAAAAGTTTAGAAGTTCAAAAGTATAAAGTTTAAAAGTCTGAAAGTACAAAAAAAAAGTAAAGCTGAAAATTTGAAAATTGTCGACGCTTAGAAGCTTAGAAGTGTGAAGTATGATTATTTTTAAAGTTTATTATATTGAAAGATAAAGAGTCAAACATTTTAGACGTATAGTAAGTTTGGAACTTTAGCAGTCTGCGCCTTGGATGACTTCTTGTAGAAGCAGAAATGTTTTACACGCCCTTTACGTGTTTCTAGCAGGTTCAGTTAGCCTTAGTGTGGTTATCGCACGTGGTTTCCGAGTACTGATTTTTTTTGTTTATTTATTTAATCGGTACAAAAATATCTGGTCCAACCCGAACATCGCGCTTGCTTTAAAAGGTTGCCCTAGTCCTGTCGGCCTATCACAGGTCTGGACTTCACTTCGGTAATATATTTGTCATAAGGCGGTACGGAAACGAAATTATTGTTTTTATTTCTTTGTTTAGATCGGGTTCATGTTGTGGCAGCAGCCCAGAAAAACTAGTCTAGACTATTGTTCCTGGGATGCCGGTAGAAAATTCGAGAAAACTAATTTTAAAACGAATGAACAGATTTCAGTATTGTGCCTGATGGCGGTCTGTGAAGCTCCACCGGAATACCGCCACGTCATCTGCCTCTGAAAAGCAGTGCCAGTTCGCGGCAGTATGGCTCTCGCGTGGAGTTACTTAGTCCTTAGTCCTGGATGTGACTTGGCGGAGAACGCTAATGACTCTAGTACGTTGTATATCTTAACATCCCCAGTGCTTCCGGAACGTGCATTCCACACCATCAAGATCTTCGTTCTTTAGAGACGTTAGGTAGGAGCTAGATCTGAGGGTGCGAGGACCTCTGCCAAGACAAACATGCCCCCCCCCCCCCTTCACCGCAACCCGGGAATGCGCTGTGACCAACGCGCTCAAATATGGCACCCAGTGAATTCCTTATACACATAGCTTGCAGGCGTCGCCATTGTTGGTGTTGAGGTCACGTGATATCCATGTTCCCGCAAAATCTAGCAGGGAACTTAGGGACTATAGCTCTATTTCTATCCTACTTATATTTTCAACATGGTTGAAAAAGCTATTGCATGATCGTTTGACAGTATGGTGTGCTCATTCCCAGTCAATTCGACTTCCGTAAAAATCATTCTAGTGAGTCTGCGTTACTAACTCAAAAAGAATTAATTTTATGAAACGTCGAAGAGAGAAAAATTGTTCTCAGGATTTTTAATGGTTTCACAAAGGCTTTTGATCTGCTAAACCACAAAATACAACTTCATAAACTCGAGCACTACGGTGTGCAAGGACACGCCCATTCTCTACTCAATTCCTATTTACAGTACAGATATCAATAAGTTCAGATAAATGGACGCTGCTCAGAAGTAAAACCTATTCTCACGGGTGTTCCGCAAGGAAGTGTACTTGGTCCCTTTTTTTTACATTTATATTAATGATATAACCAAACTTAATTTGAACGCAAAGTTAGTTATATACGCAGATGATACTAGCCTATTTTTGCCTGGTAAACAACGCTATTATAATATAACTATAGCTAATCATACTTCGTTAAAACTGCACAAATGGGCGTCGTGAAACTTCGTTAAAATTAATACTACAAAAACCAAAGCAGTTTTTTTCGCCCGAAGAATATTGTAATCTATATTTCGAAACAGGTTATATACAACTGATGCATTGTTGAATTAGCAAGCTCATTTCAAACCCTTGGAGTGTTATTTACGGAGGACATGACTTGGAATAGGCAGATAGATTCTGTTCCAGCTAGATTAGCGCAGACAGTCGGTGTAGTACGGCGTCGCAGCTCCATACTTCCAACAAAAGTTATTACTGTACAACGCCTTGTTTTACTCGCATATTAGTTATTGCTATCTTGTGTAGGGCACAACCACGATTACCACCCTCGAAAAAATTCATGTATTTTAAGAAAAAATTTGGCGCACTATTTGTAATGCCTCTTACGATTGAGCGACTTTCAATGATAAACATTTTTTTATTTCTACACCTATACGTTAAGTCAGGGCTTTCGATCAGAACTAAAACGTAATATGCGAAATCTTGAATCACTGGCTTCATTAACTAGAAACAATCCCGATTACTCAACCCGTCATAGCGAATACTGGAGGGTGGATATATGTAGAACTAATTACGGAACCCAAACGCTGAAATGCTTGCTTCCCAAAACTCTCAACGAACATACTGAGAACAAAATTGATTTGATTAATACTACATTAGAAAACCTAAGGCCAATGTACTTGTAGTTCTATAAGGTCCTGCTTGCTAAGATAGATTTTACATCTGTCAACACGAAATATATATTTGGTGTATTTGATTGAGGTGAATATTTTTATTTGAATGCTTTTTGGTGCTTGAGGTACCGTGATTGCGGTAAATATTTTACTAGGATACATGTTCTAGAAAATTCTTCAAATATTTATATGCTGTGACAAAGCTGTCTCCGGGGTATTTTCGTTCTATTTCCGACATTGTTTACCACATAAAGGAACTAAGTTCATGTTCTAGGAATCTCTGGATCATTTTTTTTTTATTTTGTAACATGCTATCTCTGAGATGTTTGTAATATTTTCATCGCTGCCACTGTAAGGGGGCCTAGGGCTCGTCAAGCTGCCTGTGGGTAGCTTTGAATCTCCGGTCTCCGTCATCAATGCATAAAAATAAAAGGATTTATTATGATCATTATCATTATTATGCGACGTCACAGGCCACGGCTTTACGAATTGCGACTTCACGGAATCCGGAGCAAATAGCCAAAGAAAGCTTCACGTTAAAAAGCTTTTTTTTTTCTCACACAGCTGCACTGAACGTCGTACATAATATACACGTGTTATTAATTTCTGTGCACATACCTCAGCCATCTGCTGCACTCCACGTATGAGTTTCACGAGACGCTTCAGCGTTATCGAAGTTTCGAAGCTCGCGCTGGAAGCGGAACACCCGAAGGACCATCCTGCCATGCGCATCCTCTCAGTGAGCATAGGTGTCATGCATGTGGCATGCACGAAGCAGCGGATTCAGCGCGCGCCGTCGCCGACGGGTTATCGTGCTTTGTGATTGTTATATTTTTGTTACCCGTGGTGTGCGCTGATTGGTGCGACGAGAAAAAGACGAAGTGACGAAGAAAGGACCGAGGCTGGAGACGGTGCACGAAGAGAGAAAAGGAACGCGGTGCGCTGGAGCTGGTGCAAGCACGACTTCGAACCGGAATAAAACGCTTTCCCCCCAAAAGGCTGGCTCCCTGCCTTCCCGGGTCCCACGGCGCCCAAACCACAAGCCGTGACTGGCGCAGTCGACAGGATAGTTCAGCTACGGAACCTTGGGATGAGCGGCCAGCTCCAACACCGCACAGACGTCGCCGAGTTCAAGTAAGCCCGGATTTTTGCCTGCCACAACCGACGGAGCGGTGGGTCCGGCATACCACACGGACGTTGCCAGTTCAAGCAAGCCAGGCTTTTCGTCTACCATATGCGACGGAGCGGCGAGTCCGGAGCTCAGCACGAACGGTGCTCACAGCAAGCAAACTCGGCTTTTCGGCGGCCACGCGACCAGACGCCAGGCGAGCGCTTGGCGTGACCAGTGGGACGGACGCTGCATGACGCAGCCTCAGCGCAAGAACCAACGGCGGAAAACAAGACTTCCAGTCTTCGAGAGGGACAGGAACTACTGCCTGCAATCGGTAGAATCCGGATTTCAGTGATGCACGGACCCTGAGACATTCCTATTAAGCATTTCCGCTGCCAGTGCTTCTGACTGCCCATCGACGACGAAGAGCTGGTCAACCTGAATTGGTGAGCGCATATGCTTGTCTATTTGGCTTGAATGATCACTCGAGCCATGGCGAAGAACTATGAGTCGGGCAAAGGGGAGGGTAAAATGCCTGACAAACTTAAGGAGCCTGATGACGCATCACAGGATGAGGGGAGAACTGATTCTGAAGTGATGAACACTCGATTGGAAATTGAAAAAATAAAGCTCGAACAAATACGGGCACAAATTGAGCTCCAAAAATTGCAGAAGGAAAATGGTGGTGGTGCAAATGGGGGGCTGGGATTACAACCAGAATCTGGGGTAGCCCACTATGCTGCACTCTTGACTAATGTGCTCAG